CATTGCCACCTGCTTAAGTATTCTATCAAATAAATTTATAGTTATGATCATTTTATTTCTTCCAATTTTTTATGATTCCATTTATTTTCATTAACCAAACATGACCTACATTGTTGAATGGATGCATTATGAGCAAGAAGTTAAGAGCAAATTGCGACCACTTGCTGCTGATCCATTGAGGCTAATGTAATTGATCGAAAGGCTGTAACCGAACAGCATCATTATGGGCTAATGTTTCCTATTTTAAATACGAACTTTTAGATCACGTTCGTTTATTAGAATTGAATAGAATGTAATTGATTAAAAAAATAAAAATAAAAAATAAAATAATTAAAAGAGATATGTTATCATATTTACAAGGAAGAGAAGTAATTTAGTTCATAAAATTGAGACTCATGATTTATAAAATTTTTAAAAAATGTAATGATTCTTATATTTATAATATATATTAATGAATTTTATCATACTTAACATTAAAAAAAATAATTTTATTTTTATTTTAATTTTTTAATATATTTTATTTTATTATATTTTAATAAACAAACGTAACTGTCTAGCCTTTGTCATTGTTCTGGTGGTGTTCTTTTGTGAGATGTGCGTGAGAATGTGTGTTGGATTTTTTATATTAATAAAAATGACTACTTTTTCTGGTGAAAAGGAGCAATTGAAATGATAACCAAAAAGCAAATCTTGTATGTATATATTTATCTCAAAATTGAGGATAAACTTATCTGCTTTCACTTTTTACATTTTTACATAAAGCTCCCTATTTTTTTTAATATTGATGAAATCATATCATATTATTGTTGGGGTCAGTCAGTAATCCAGTTGTCCTTGCTTGCACCTTATAGGAAACTTGTTCTTAAAAAACACCGGCGCCAACAACAAACAGTTTTGGTGCTCATCAGCCTAACGGGCGTTATGCGCTCCTCAGGTTGACGAAATCTGAACAGCTTAAACTTTATTTTAAACAATTATATTTAAACATTTTATTTTTTTATTTATATTTATTAAAATAAAATTATAAAAAATTTAATAAATTTACTTTATCATTAACAAGGACAATATAAATTTAATTTGAATAGTTCAATTAAATATAAAATTTTTTTAAAATTTTATAAATTGACTATTCAAATGAATTATGAATAATTTAAATTTAATATTTTTATAATTTTTATGAAATTTTATTTTTGTGAATATAATATTAAAATTAAAGATGATTTTCAAGCTAGCATTTTAAAAAACTACTTTTTCCATCCTAAATTATAAGACAGTATTAGGAAAATTTAACGTTTTAAAATATAAAACACTTTGATAAAAATAAAATTTTATTAATGATTCTTTTTTAGTATTACCCTTCTCATATATTCTCTTTCTTCGATATTTTTTTTATCAATGGAATATTAAATGAAGGATATTTTTGAAATTTTATATTTTTGGTTTGAAAAAGTAAGGTTGTAAAGTATATTTAATGAATTTTATTGATATGTGAGATTTTATCTAAACGTGTCTTATAATTTGGAATGGAAGAAGTATTTTTTTAATGAAAATTTGCAAGTTAAATTTTTTTAAATATATACTATCAAGAGTACATCTAAATAATCAATTTATAAAAATTTTAAAAATTTTTATATTAAATTGGATCATCTAAATTAAATTTTTATTGTCCAAATTGATGATAAAATAAATTTATTAACATTTTATAATTTTTATTTTAATAAAAATAAAATAAACTTTTAAACCTGGATCATCTAGATATGAGTATTGAAATTGGTTTTGGTATTTTAAATATTTCAGCATGAATAATTAAAAAAGTATGTATCAAGCTATTATCTACAAATCAACTATACAATTGCTATCACCGAAAATCAATTTTAATTACAACAACAATAAGAGAAAATCATTCTCATACTACACAGACACTCTAAATATAAAAAATTCTATAAAATCACAAAATTAACTATATAGCATTGTTTGGGATTTGCTTTTTTTAAAAGAGTGAAATAGTTTGGGATGGCTTTTCAAGCTTCAAACAATCGTAACTCATTTTTTCCCTTAACCTCCCAATTTGGAAATCAGGAATTGAACATGACATTAATAATAATATTATAAAATTACTATTATCCTTTTCACCCTTTCCGACCTTTTAACTGCCTCCCGATTCAAAACTAGAAAAACGTTATCTTATCTATCTATCTATATCTTCAAATCTTGTGAATTATTTTATATTCTTAAATATTAGTGAATAGAATTTAATTAGTCATTATCGCATTTTTTTGGTGAAGTCTCATTGGTCAATTAAATGTATTATTACATTTTTATCTTATTGGTCAATTAAATGCATCATTATCACGTTTTTGTTTTATCGGTCAAATTGCTCAGTTAAGATCATTATCACATTTTTACCTCATTCCTGATGGCTAATGCGATAATGACTAATTAAATTCTATTCACTAATATTTAAGAATATAAAATACATTCACAAGATTTGAAGGTATAGATTTTCCTATGTTTTTCGTTGTCAGTAACAGAATGATAATATTCAATATTTAGAACTCTTTGGTTCAGCATTTCTAATATATTTTTATTTTATTTGTTTATGATGATAAGTTTCTTAGTCTATCAAATAAGTGATATAAATTTTTTTAATAAGAAATAAATTATTAAATAATATCACTTACTCGATCCATTTAAAAATATAAGAGAAATTTTTAGATAGAATATTGAAAATATAAGGGGGGAAAATACCGATCAAAACTCTTTGAGAATGATAAAGTTTGAATCACTAATTAATTCAATAAAACATATTTTTCTAAGTAAATGCAAATTTTAAAATTTCATCAAATAAACCTTAACAAATTTAAAAAGATACATTCTTCCATCTAAATATCATATTCTCCAATCTCCCATTATATGTCTCATTGATTTGTTGTTTTACATATATTATTAGTAAAACATATTTTATGACGCTCTTCCATTTTTTTTGTGTGTAAATTTATTATTAAAAATATTTGAATACAATATTGATCATTTTTTTGATAACCGTCCAATGCACGAGATTATTTTCTACACATAACTAATTCAAACACATGACTTCTTAAACAATAATTAAATGAAATCATTGATTTTTTTTTTTTTAGAAAAACTCTCTCATAATAAAATGTGTTGTTCTATTTTGTCCCACTCAACTCTACTTCATTCTAGCAGCCATCATTCCATTTGATTTCATCTTATAGTCTTGAACATATCGTGAAGTCTCATACTATCATTTACCAAAACTATCAATTACTAATAATTAAGATAAATTGGCTCACTAGTCTGATAAAATCTTGTATCTAAAAAATATGAATTAAAATTTTAAAAATTTGGGAGTATGATTAATTCATATTGATATATAAAAGGTTTATTATTGATATACAAGAGATTTATTATTAAAAATTTAAAATTACAAAAGATTTATCATTAATACACAGTATATGATTGACAAGTATAATATATTAGTCATAATATAAAATATAATAAATATTGGGCTATTATTTAGTTTAGTCTTGTAATATGGGTTATATTTATAAAAGGGTAAATAGACAAAAATACTTATAAAATGGTCAACCAAGAACATCTAGTATTCTAAAGTGAGAAAAAAAATAAAAATACCTATAACATCACATGAATGGCTGCAAAGTGATTAGATCGTTAACTTTGACCTAACGCTGTTAACTTTGACTATTAAATACTGACTGTGCATGTCACATGTTAGTATTTGTTGACGTAGACTGATAAATGGGCAAAAATACTCACGAAATCATCGGTCAGGAGCAAAAATACCCATAATGTTATCAAAATTAGTGCAAAAGTGATCAATCCATCAAATCCCTTAATTATTGATTGTTTAACTGATACCTAAGTAGAAGTTGACCATTTTGCGCTGACATAAACAAAAAATATTTTCAAATGAAATTCTCTAGAGGTTAATCTATTATTGTATAAATATCATGTAAGAAAATGTCATTTTAAATGAATATTAAAGTAAATTGGTTGTTTAATTTCTTTACAACAGTGGTTTTCTATTTGTAAATTTTAAATCTATCATGAATGAAATTGCTTAAGGTTGTGACAATGATTTTAAGGTAGCATGACATAAGAGGTGTGCTCAGTCTCAATCTTTTAATGTGTACAATCTATTTTACTATGTTGAATATCATGTTTTGTAGACAAAAAAATGAGTGGAAAGGGAGGAAGGAAGAGGGCAAGATATCTGACGATGAAAAGAAACCATATGGTATGGATTTTAACGGATTGGTCACTAATTATGGGTACTCATATTATGATCGATCAATATTCGTAAAAATTCATTTGGGAATATTTTTTATCTATATCAACCAAAAAATAATCAACTTTTGATTAAATGTCAGCTAAACGGTCAATATTTAAAGAATTTAATAGATTGGTCACTTTTGTACCAATTCTGGTAGCATCATGAGTATTTTTGCTACAAACTGATGACTTCATGAATATTTTTATCCCTTTATTAATTCACATCAACAAAAGCTAATACGTGCACTTACAGTCAGCATTTAATGGTTAAAATTAACAGCGTTAGTTAAAATTAATGATTTGGTCATTTTTGCATCCACTCATATAAAGTTATGAGTATTTTTATTATTTTTCTCACCTTAAAATACTACGTGCCCCTGACTAATTACTTTATAGGCATATTTACTGCTATACCCTTTATAAAAATCTCATTAAACAACCCTACTAATAATTACTTATTAATTAAAAATGGTCCACATCAGTAACATGAGAAACTAACAACTTTAAATAAATAACATGAATTTTCAGATTTTTTATTATATAAATTGTTTATGTGAGATTGAGACATGGAGTGACTTTTTATACTACTAAACTAATAATAATAATAATATAAAGTGTGAAAACTTAACGCACAAGGGTACATTTGAAATTTCAGATAAGAGCACCGATCATTGACTGGTTCAACGTCCGACCTCACAGTCATGGCTTAGACGAAACCCCGCCTTCCTCGAATCCCTCACGTCACGTCTCCTTTAATGGCGCGTCTGAGGTCCTCCTTTTCCCACACTCTTCCAGTCAACATCCATTCTCTCTCGCCTCTTCTTCTTCCATTCCCCTATCGCCTCCCTCACTCCGATCCACCTTCTCTTACCTTCCTCCTCCATCGCCATGGATCACACCTTGCAAGCTCTCGTCGCTGCCATCGTTAGCTTCTTCGTTGTCACTCTCATCTTCGCCGCCATCATCCTCGCCTGCAAAAACAACACCAAAACCCATCCACGGCATCGTCAAGCCCCTGCCCAGACCCAGCGGGAGCTTTCCTCCATGGTCGTTGACGGCAGCTGGTCCTTCGACCCCTACGTTCAAATCAACATGGACGAGATCACTAGAGCCACCAAGAATTTCTCGCCCGACCTCATCATCGGCGATGGCAGCTTCGGTCTCGTCTACAAAGCGCGTCTCTCCAACGGCCTTGTTGTTGCCATCAAGAAGCTCTCGCCGGATGCCTTCCAAGGGTTTCGTGAATTCCGAGCTGAGATGGAAACCTTAACTAGGCTCCGGCATCCCAATATCGTCAAAATTCTCGGGTACTGGGCGGCGGGTCCGGAGAGAATGTTGGTCTACGAGTTCATCGAGAAAGGGAATCTCGATCAATGGCTTCACGATCCGACGAACTTTTCGTCTTCTGGATACGACGACGTTTCAATGGCGCGAGCCCCATTGCCGTGGGACCTGAGGTTGAAGATAATCAGAGGCGTTGCCAATGGCCTTTTTTACTTGCATGGGCTGGACAAGCCCATTATTCACAGAGACATCAAAGCTAGTAATGTGTTGCTGGACTCTGACTTTGAGGCCCATATTGCTGATTTTGGGCTCGCGAGGAGAATCGATACTTCAAACTCTCACGTGTCGACTCAGTTCGCCGGAACCATGGGGTACATGCCGCCGGAGTACAGAGATGGGGTTAATGTGGCCAACGTGAAGGTGGATGTCTACAGTTTTGGGGTTTTGATGCTGGAAATAGCAACGGGCCGACGGCCCAATCTGTCTGTGAAGGTTGAGAAGAAGGATATTGGGCTTGTGCAATGGGCCCATAAAATGGTGGCCCAGGACTCCGAAATGGAAATGGTTGATCCTAATATTTCAAGAGAAGGATTAAGGGAAGATAATGTGAAGGAGTACTTTAGGATTGCTTGTATGTGCACAAGTGAACTACAGAAACACAGGCCTGTGATGCAACAGGTTGTGGAACTGTTCGAGAACATGGCCGTGTAAGTTTCCGGTCACCGGCGGATCAGCAGATGAATGTTTCCGGAGGCCGGTACAGTGAGATTCTTAGGGTTGATGAAAGGGTTTTTATATAGCTGCGGAAGCAATTAAGCAGATGGGGGATGAGCTCTTATGCAGTTGTATGAATATTTAGTATATTGAGTTTAGAAATTGGAAAATGCTCAATATAGGATGTTTTATTTTATTCGTTTGGATCTATCTATAAGTAACGTAAACGTTTATTTATTTATTTATTTATTTTTGTTGTCGTCGTCGTCTTGTTTTTGATTTCGTTTCAACGGATGTCACAAAGGTATTTCAATTGTATGTAATTTAGAAAATTACCTAGGAGATTATACAATATAACCTGCCACTATGTGCAGTAGGATATACATATTTCACGATAAATAATTTAAATTTGAATATACATAATTTTTAATGTATAAAGTTGGAGCAATGATGAAAATGTTGAAACTGATGTGCAGTATTTATGTAAAGATAATATTTAAAATAAAAATATATGAAAAAAATGAGTATCATATATTGAAGGAAAGATGGTAAAAAATTATGAGATAGTTTGGATATATATAAAAAAAAAAACAGCAGGAGGAACCAATAACAAATAGTGAAATGAATTATTTTGAATTATTTTGAATCTTATAAAGAAGAGTTAAAAAATATTAAAAAAAATATTTATAAAAGTTATTGACTGAGAACTTTCATTTAATAACATTCTTAAAAGTTTAGTTAATGATAAAATAAAATGACATATATAATTCATGTAGCCTATTTCATATAGTGGGATAAGGTTTGTTATTGTTGTAATATAATTTTTAATGCAGTTATTTGAATATTAGGTTAGATATTGGAAAAGCTCAATTTATAGAGCGGTTTTCTCCCACTTTGTATTAGTTCGATCTAAGAGTAACATTAAGCGAGGGTTTTTTTTTTCCCCTTTGTTTTAAGTTGCCTTATTGTTATATATTTCAATTTTGATTTGCAGAATTAAGAGATTCAACATACCATGGTATCATTTAGGACGGAGTTGGGTTTGTTTCGCTGAGTTTAATCTGGCTGGACAGTTTTTAATTTTTAATTTTATTTTTTATTTATTAAATTTTTTAGATTACTAATTTAGAAAATTCAAATTTAATTTGAATGATCTAAATGTAATATTAATTTTTTTCTATAATTTTTATAAAATGACTATGAAGATTTTATTTTTGATGGTGTAGATTAATATTAAATTTTTTTAATAAATTTTATTTTGATAATTTAATATTGAAAATAAAGATATTTTTCTAACATACACTTTTTGGAAAATAATTTCTTTTAAAAAATTATGATTTAGAAATTTTAAATTTGAATTGTAAAGAGTATCTGAATAATTAATTTATAAAAATTATAAAAAATTATTATTAAATTTGGACCAACGATGTAAAATCCATATTGTCCATATTGCAGATTAGATTTAATAAAAAATTATAATTTTTTATTTTAATAAATATAAAATTAATATTAAAAATAAAATATTTAATCTAGATCATCAAATTAAATTTGAATAGTTAAAATTTAATAATAAGTGGAAGGAGGGTGGGAGGGAGGAAGCTGAGTCCATTTAGGACAGTGCCATGTACACTTCAAGGCTGGTTTTAGGTCTCGAAATTTTTACTTATACGTTATATAATTGGTTATTATTTTTCTATTAAGTATTGATGTTAATGAAATATTTTCATTATGAATTTATTTGTTGATTATAACTTATATATGCTATCATCATTTTTACATTAAGCACTAATGTTAATTACGTCTTTCCATTAAAAATTATTGCTGCGCACATTTCACTGCACCTGTCACTAGGGTAACATGCCTATACTATATTAAAAAAATTAAACTCTTTTCCAAATACATATATTGTTTAAAGAGTATTATTGATCATACCACTAAATAGTTGTTACTATTAAAAGAAATTTTTAAAAATTAAAACTTCTGAAATTTAATTTAAAATTAACCACGTTACAAAATAAACTAAATGGATTAGATAAACTATCTATTGAAAAATGAAATGTTAAAATTATTTAATTATAAAATTTAAATATATGATTTTGCAGCTTAAAAACCTAGAAAAGTGATATCACAATAGATAAATAATAATTTATTAAGTATTTTAAATAATTTTACTTTAGATTGCAAAACTTTTTCACATGGCGTGATTTATGATAATGATTTACACATCTGCTAGGATTCAAGATGCCGTAATGGCATGAAAATCCTTTCCATAGAGAAACAATTACAATTTTAATTTTGGTTAGTTAATGTGTATTTGCAGTAATTTTCAAAAGAAAAGAAAACTGGATCAAAAATTCCATCGGACCAATTAAACACTAATTAAAATCTTATTTTTACAGTCAAAATTTAGACAAAATGTTGATTTACTATTCCAAGCAGGAATGGGGCTTATGCATATGACAAATTTTTTTTTTTATAACAGGATTTAAAACCACCTTTTTCTCTAAATTTTATTTTTTTAGGAGTTCTAGGCGCCTTATATTGAAGGGTGAATTAATATCTCCTGTGAGCATTTTTTTTTTTTTAGTATCAAAATCGCCCTTCCCTCATAGACTTGCCATATTCTCAGTTATTTGCTGAATAGAATAATTGTGGAGCTCCACAGTAATAACAAGACATCTTGACTCATTTTGCTGCTATTTCAATACTAAAATCAGACTTGGTTTCTGGCATTGCTATTGCCACTTCCATCTCATTTGGCCCACGTTAGATGCTTAGAGTCAGTTAGAATACCTTATTGGTTTGGGAAATATTGTTCCATCTTTCAGTAAAAGGTTACAAGCGCTCTAAAAAAAAATTTAGGGGTGAAGAATGATCTTTAAACTAACAATTAATTAGCAATTATTATTTTTTATCATAAGGACAAGTTAATAACCTGAGATAATAAGCTTGACCGAATTTTCAACCTCCCAATTATAGAGTTTGATATGCCATTAGTTTTCCTTCCAAATAACAATGACCTTAGCAATTATTTTTGCCGAATTCTAAGGAGAGGGTGACTAAGTTTGCTGTGTGATGTTGTCAAATAAATAAATAAGTAACAAAGAAAAGGAAATTTTGGTATGTGGCGCGTACATTTAGGGTTGTGGACTAAAGTGTATTCAAGTTTTCAAACGGTTGAAAGCTCAGTTATTTGATTTTGATTGAATACTTTACCCCAATGAATGAATATCGGTTGGGACTGACTGAGTCTTTTTTCTTATTTTCAAAAGAACCCAAAGAAAAGTTTCTAGATGCATGTATATTAGTATAGACAAATTTTTCCTCCAAAACCAAAGGACATAGGTACAAGATGAGGCTATACGACAAATTTTTCCAACAAAACCAAATAACATAGATTTTAATTTTTTATGGTGCAAAAACTATATAATAAACCTTGAGGAGCCTCACTAAGATAATCCAATGTCATATTTGAGAGTCAAGAGGCAGAGTTAAGGAGTTTGGAGGAGTTCTTCTGAGTTGAGAGTTCTCTCTCTTTTCTCTTCTCTAGATTTAGTTCATGGCTTTTATTGGGATGTTTTGCAATAATTCTCTAAGTTCTTTCTAAATTTCCAATTAGGGTGGGGAGTAGTCTAGTTGTGATAGATCTTTCTTTTTTATTTTGTTAGTCTATTTTCCCATTATACATGAATTTTTGTCTATGAAAATTTTTGTTTTATTTTTATGTTTATCTCTCATCTTTTTCACCTTATCATATATGTAGCCAGTATATAATCTGTCTGTGGGTTGTTTGATGAATTGGGAGGTGAAGAACTAACTTAAACCTAAAGAATTAGTTGCGAGAATTCGTGGTAACTTAGATCATAGCTTTAAGATCAAATTAGTGCCTTTTGAGTTTAGTGGAAGCCAATTCAATGTTAGTTAGATATGTCCTAATATATTAAGAGGTAATTATGATACATTAGTAATAATTGTCACTATAAATAAAGAAAAGATAATTAACTAAATTAGAGTAAGCCATCATATTAGATGAATCTTGATCTCTGTGCTCGTTTGATTGATTGGTTTATCATTTTTATGATAGTTTCTTATTTTTGCTCTATATTAATTATTTAATTCCTTTTTAGAACTAATTGCTTTTATAAATATTAAAGTTAGCTATTTTCCCTTGGTTCTCCTAGAATATTCTAAGAAATAATTACTACATCAATTCCGTACACTAGCAGGAGCAATCACCTTCCTTTCCCTGTTTCCTCTTCTTTGCATTTTCTTCATGTCTTTAGGGCTTGAGAGTTGGAGTCCAAAATCTGATGCAAGTCTTGCCCACTCATCTGACTTCAATAGAGTCTAGGAGTGTGATTTCACGTTTCTAAACACTAGGTTTTGATAAGGGGGTGATTAACACTGTTGGTGATGGGCTTAAAATTAACTCTAACACTACGTAATCAAGTTTAAGCTAATGAGTTAATTTAACTGTAAGGATTATGCCTATGGAAAGGTTAAATAAGTTAATGAAAATTAGAAATGGGATTGTTTATGATTAATGGTAGAAAAGGGAGTCTTGGGTGTTAAATTTGATTAAGGGTTATTTAATGATATTAGTCACTAATGATTGTTTGATAGTAATTATTGTAGATGAATCGACACTTAAAGCTATTGGAATTGTTGGAGGTTGGAATCCAAACTTACTCTTGGTGTAGTAATCAAGAGTTGAGGTGATTGAAAATTAAATTCTAATATATGTTTGTTGTTTGCATTTATGAGCTTGAATGATTTATGATATGAAAAGAGTTGAGATGACATGACACTAGTACAAATAGCTCTTTTAAACCAACATATCTACACTGGTTCATGTGCACATAGGAGGCGATAGTATTTTTGTAAATAAATAGCTTGTTGAGATGATATCCATACTAGTTCCTTGATTAATTGGTGTGGATGTATATTTCTTTAAAAATTATTCTATTTGGGTGAGACAACTACACTGGTTGTAAAAGGTAACCGCTATATATATATATATATTCTAATTTTTTTAAAAAATGTTTTTCAACATAACTACTATAGTTATGACAGACAACCGTTGTAGATATCTTTAAAAAAAATTTATATCTACACCAATTTTTTTATTACAACCGGTGTAGATATTCTTTCAAATTTCTGAAGACCCCCTTATTCGTATAAATTCATCGTTGCCATCTCATGATCTCAACTCAAAAATTAGTTCACCGCACATTGAAACCTAGAATCCCCTTCTTTGTA